TCCAGTTCTCTCTATCTCTAGCTGCTGCAATCCAGTTTGTTTCTATCCTCCTTAGGTCGTCGGTCCATCGGGTGGGTGGTCTGCCTCGACTTCGCTTGTCGGCTCTTGGTCTCCACTCCAATAATCTCTTCGTCCATCTTCCGTCTTCCATTCTAGCAACATGTCCAGCCCACCTCCACTTTTGTTTATTGATTCGCAGTATAATATCGTCTACGCCAGTTCGTCGGCGTATCTCCTCATTTCTTACGCGATCTTTCAAGGTCGGGCCCAGCATTGATCTCTCCATTCGCCTTTGTGTTACCCTCAGTTTTTCGGCAGTAGCTTTCGTTAAAGTTAAGGTCTCTGCTCCGTAGGTCAAGACTGTAAGATGCATTGGTTAAATGCCTTCCTTTTCAGGTGAATTGGGATATTTGTTTTAAAAATGTCTCTCATCCGTCCATATGCCGCCCATCCCAACATGATTCGTCTATTTAGCTCGCAGGTTTGGTTGTCTCTGGTTATTCTAATTTTATGACCCAAGTATGTGTATTTATCGATTAATTCTACCTTGTTGTTATTGATCTGTATCTCTTCGCTGGGAACCATATTGGCCATCATTTTGGTTTTCTCGAAATTTATCTCCAGCCCAGTTTCTTGTAGTATGTCATTTAGTTCTTGGAGCATGTCTTTGATCTCTCCCAGATTATCTGACAGAAGCACGATATCGTCCGCAAAACGTAGATGGTTTAATCTTTCTCCATCGATGGATATTCCTTTCTGTTGCCATGTTAGTTTTTTAAATGCATACTCAAGAACGGTAATGAACAGCTTTGGTGACATGGTATCACCTTGCCTGACTCCCCTTTTTATCTTTATTTTATTAGTTGCAGAATATAGACTTATGGTTGTTGTGGCATTTTTCATATATCTGTACATGGGAAGCATAGTATACTAAGTCACATTTTCATAATTTTACAGGAGGAACACTTAAACATTATATTTGATATTAAAAATAGTATTATATATAGTTTGCTGTGGTATTATAAAAGTAATGTAAGTGTTTAAAGATAATAAAATAATGGACTTAGGATATATTACCTCTAAATTATAAGACTCCTTATATTTATAATATACATATACTAAGTCCTTATAAATTGTGTATCTGTGTAAAAAAACTCGTCAATATTTCTTTATTTATTTTATTTAGTTATAATTAACATACAGTTCTCAAATTACATGTCATCATTATCCTTAGGGTACTCGGATTCTTCGTTTGAATGTGGCAGATTTTTATAGAAATCATGGCAATACGATGGAAGTATAAAAGTAAGTCCATAAGATCACTATATTTTTTTGTTGATATAGGAATCAATTGCATATTCTTTTGTGGTAAAGTTTCTGGCAAAATGATATCACCTCTTTTATTTCGTCTTAAGTCAACCATTTGAAAAGTGTCACGGTTGAATGAAGTTTTATATTGAAGCATTCCAAAATTTTCTTTGGTAACACGTAAGATCACTGATTTTGAAATTTGAAATGCATCTCTATCAGTATTTATTTTCCGATTAATAAATGGACCTATTGAAGAATATAAGCATTCAAAATTTTTAAAATCATTCAGTTCCATGTTGACAGCTTCGTATTTATTCGACCACTGACGAATAAATTGTTGCCAGTCCCAGGGTGTTAATATAGTTAGAGTGGGTAGTTTTTTCCGTTTCCTTTCAATATTAGCGTGTACTGAATCGGATTCCATATGCGTGTGCCCCTTTAGAAGAAATTTACAATCTATTACTTGTAGTTTGGGATATCTTTAAATGAGGTAAAATGCACATATAACTACACATAGGTTTTTGGTCTGGCCCCAACAGTTATCTGCCCATATGGTTACACATTCGACGTCAGATGAGAATATTTAGATCAGCCCACTTTAAAATTCCCGAAGCAATTTCATTTCCTCCTCTGTTTGCTTTGGTTTCATCCCACAGTACACAATACGCAGCACTATTATATCCATCGTATAAAGTGTAATTCAAAGTTCATAATTTTCGCTAATTTTTGCTTCGGCCATATCAATAGATTTAAATTTATATCTGTTTTCTGCTTTTTTTAAGCGCGTATACGCACTTCTTACTAACATAGGCCCTTCCACCAGCATAGTTTCTCTTTTCTCTCATTCGCTTTCCAGTTAAGAACATGTCGTGTTCGTTTCTTTCCTGTCTGCTTTATTTTTGTTTTATTGACGACTTTTCTTTTGGTCACTAAACGATTGTGATTTATAGTATCTTCTAGTGTATTAGTTAAAGAGTCTGGTATAGCATTAGATGTACTTGGCACACCTTCTGGAAATGCCGATAAAGGTACAGGAAACCTACTTCCACTTTCATCTGAATCAGTGTCCGAATCTGGTTGATAATCTTTATCCTTTATTGAGTCATCGCTGTCACTTAAATAAGTTGGCACTTACCACTGAACTTTGTTTAGAATGCTTTTCTTCTGCAACACTAGCCGATTTGATGGCTGCATCTTGGCCGCATATATCGCTAAGTTCGTGATGTGGTAGGGTTTCTTTATTTTCACCTGCAATAGAAAGTTTCGTTACAACGGAAGCAGACTTTAAATAAAATAATTATTATTAAAGATATTTTTATTAACATTTAGAAAAGAAGTAAATATTACATTTATTTTTTCACGACTGACTGAAAAAAAAAATAATTTAATGATAAAAACTTACCTTTTTGTAATATGGGGTCTGTATTTAAAGACTTAGGTATGTCGGAGAGCGACAAATCTAATATCCTTAAACTTCTTTTGCGAAAAGCCATTTTTAAAGCAATAAAAGACTCACTAAATACCTTCTCTAAAATAACACGCTTTCGACTTTAAATCTGTTATCTGTTTGCTATGCTGGTACGTTAAAAACTAAATATTATATTATTTTCAGAATGCGCCTGCCTGTCATTAATGACGATTTTTCGTTAAAATACTGCTTAGTACAACCTATTAAATTAAGTAACAATTAAATCCAATCTCCAAAAGACATAAACACAATAAATTAGGGCGGCCTGTAAACCATAAAATTACTAAACCAATATTGTAAACAGTCTCCACTTGATGTGCACTTAATATACTATACATTTAACTTGAGTTTGTTTTAAAAATATTAAGTTCAACGAAAATGCACACGTGTGTGTATATTTTATTATATACTTGATATAATTTCATTGAGAAGCATATGATCCTATAATGGACTTAGAATCCAGTTCATAATATTTCATTTGGAGGAATATAAGTTTAAGTCCAGATAAGATTATATACCTCTAAAGCAAACTGGACATAGTATACATAGTTTCTCGTCTAATTTCGTTTCTAAAAGAGTTTGGACTTAGTGTAGTATTCCCCTGAATAATATTGGGTATTGCGATCCCGGTTATGCAATAATGTATTTTTCTGAAAAAATGGACTTAGGATAGTATGCCTCCCATATACAGATATATTTTAATTATATTACAATATCTGTGGTCGATCCTGCAATCTTGTAGTGCTCTTAAGATGGACGGTAGTTCCACTGTATCAAACGCCTTTTTAAAGTCTACAAATATCAATGCCAAGGGACGGTTATATTCGTTAGTTTTTTCTATTAGGGTTTTTAGGCACTGCAGGTGATCGTTTGTGCCGTAATTAGGGCGGAAACCAGCTTGTTCCCGAGGTTGGTAAAAATCCAGCTTTGTCTCTAATCTATTCGTTATTATTCGGGTGTATAATTTATAAAGATGGTTAAGGAGACTGATTGGTCTGTATCTTTCCAGGTCTGCTATATCTCCCTTCTTGTGTAAGAGTACAGTTATTGAATTATTCCACTTTGTTGGGATATTTTGATTCCATAGGCATAGATTAAAGAGCTTTTGAATTTTGGCTATCAGTACTGAGCCTCCTATCTTTATCGCTTCCGTGACGACACCGTCCTCCCCCGGAGCTTTGTTATTCTTCATATTTTTTAGGCCTTGTAAATTCGTTCAGGAGATTTCTGGAATATCTTCGAAACCCTGATTTTGAACCTTCCTCTGTTGATATTGACTATATCTAGAGTCGATTGGTTGCTATGAGACATTATATAGCAACCAACCAACCAACCATATCTAGTGTTACTCCGAGATATTTGGCGCTGTCTACCCATTCGACCGGAGTATTTAAGATAGATAATTTCCTGTCTGGGAGTCCTTGACGTCTTTTGTACATGACAGCCTGTGTTTTGTCCGGGTTGACGGCAATTTTCCACATAATGCACCAAGATTGCAGTCGGTTTAGGGCCTCCTGTAGGTATCTAGTGGCCTGATTTGGATTGACACTGCTAGCAGCTATAGCAGTGTCGTCGGCGTATAGACTGAGCATCGTTCGGTGATCACTGGGGGTGTCTGAAGTGTATATGGTATACAGGTATGGCGACAGCACAGCTCCCTGTGGTACTCCAGCCTCCATAGTACCGACTTCGGATAGGGTAGACCCTATTCGAACCCTGAATCTTCTGTTGGCTAGGTACTGTATCCAAGTTCGTTCATTTTATATTATGAAATTAAATCTTAACTGTCTTCTCCTTTTTATTCCGATTACTCTGAACGAGTACAAGAAACCTATTGGCTAAGGATTTTTGTTAGTTGAGGAGATTTGACGTGGAATGCAAATACTTATAATTATAAATTATAAAATTATAAAATTTGTTTTATTTTCGATCTGTTTTAAAATCATAACAATACTGATTAAAGTTTTTTGTTATTTTTAGGTACTACGTTCTTTTTTATGATACCTTAAATGTAACTGAACTTTTAGACGTCGCAATCCATGAAAACAATATACCATTTCATAATATACTAAATAACATTACCGCCATTTCCGCAGAATATTTAACAAAAATCAGAGCCGTAGATATCATATTATTGGCAAATTTTTTAGAAGAATCAAAAAAATCTAATTTCACAAATTTTCGATTTGTCTTACCAGATACATTTAACGAAAGTATAACTATGACGAGCATTTTGTTAAACATTGATCGTGATATATTTCAAGAAGATGAAACCAAGGACGCTGGTAACAAAATTTTATCGTACCTGTTCTATGTGGCGGACTTGCTGAAAGCATCGTACTCCAGTTGTGCTTGGAACGTTATCTTTGAAGTGGTATATTTGAACCAAAACGGTGTATTGGGCTTGCAAATTACTGATACGAATAATTATTGTAAATATCAAAATAAGGTATCTGATTTTATGATAAACAGCTCGGGAATATGGCTCGATAGTTTATTAGTATCACAATTAAGGGAACACGGTGTACAAAAGTTGTATTTAATCGTTCTTTCCTGCGATTCATTTTTTTATAACGGCGAACTTCTGACGAACAATAACCAGGTATTTGGCTTATACATACCAAATATTGATGATACTTTTAACAATCAGGTAACAGTGATTTTTGATTCTTTCGTGTTTACTCCAAATACTGCTGGTTGTGTCACATGGGAAGACGTAAGTACTAAGTATGTAGAAAAAGGCCGGTGGGGGTTGCAAAAGCAACTCAACTCGAATGGTGGATGTGAATGGTTTCAACAAGGATGGTTCTCTGTGAAGCTAATCGACGAACCCTTTAATATTACTAAATCCCTGCAAAACCTGGACGATAGCTTACCAACAAGCGAAAAACTGAAACAACTAGAGGCTATAACGACGTATTCTGAGGATTTTAAACCACAAGATGTGTATTTTCTTTTAAAGAAATTACTTAATTGCCAAGATTTAAGCATGGGCGATCTAAGTATTTTAAAACGAATAAGCGCCAATTTTTGTGACATACCCAATAACGTGAAGAGAGATGCTGAACGATTGTTTCATACTAATCATATGATTCTGAAAATTGTTTCGATTGTGGGATCTATTATTGAGACTAACACTGCCTACACAATCGGTAACATTCTTCAAATTATAAGTTGTAATCTCAATCAAAACAAGGAGTTATATTTAGCGAGGAATTTCATAAGTTGCCAGCCCTTATCTGAAAACGATTACAGTACAAATTTGATTTATTATGGGAATACAAAAACCGCTGAGCAAGTCATGCTTTTTTCGGTGATTGCTTTTCAAAGCAACGATCTGTTTGACGAACAATACGACACTTCCCAAATTTTAGGTATCTCGACTCTAGTCACCTCAGAAACTTCCATTACTAGGTTCAAAATCACTTTTAAACACGACCAGTATAATGATCCAAGTTACTCCTGCGCCTGTTGGAACAATCACAAATGGACTTACTTTCATACCTTGCAATCAAAATATAACACAAGCTGCTACATCAACGACTTGCAGTACTGTGAATATGTAACGTTGGCAAACCTTGATATAAATAAAATACTGAATGATGTTTACAGCAAAGATGATGAACAGGACAGCAAATGTGATGAATCTAGTTATTGTACTACTACGTTGCAAGTCACTTTAAACGCACTTAACAATCATTTTAGCGAGTTGGAAGCTTCCAGTATTGATACAGTCTTTAACATATTTAACAAAATTAATTTAGATACAGAACAACAACTAGAATATATGGCGGATATTATCGATCTCCTTATGAATTTGGATAGAGAAATTCTAGCTAAGGCACAAACTCATAACAATTCAACAGAAAAGTTACATGAATGTATTAATCGCCTGGTGAAGGATTATAAAGGTAAGCACAATATTTTTTATGGTAACTAATTGTCTAATATTGTTTGTGTTTTGGTTTTTGTTAATATATTTATACTGTATAGCATTATTCTCTATCTATCTAATTAGCCTTCTTCGTCCATCTTTGGACATAGGCCTCCCCAATCCTTTTCATTCTTCTCTGTCTGTCGCTACAGTCATCCATCTAGAGCCCACGTGCTTCTTGATATCATCTGCCCATCTCATTTGGGGCCTTCTTCTGCTTCGTTTATATTCCCACGGTCTCCAACTTATAAGAATTTTGTTCCATCGGTCTTCTTTTTGTCTTATATTGTGTCCGGCAAATCTCCATTTCAATTTTGCAACTTCTTGTCTAACATCCCTCACTTTTGTTTTCTCTCTTATCCACTTGTTTCTCTCTTTTATCCATTAGTCTTATGTGCAACATTTGTCTTTCCATTGCTCTTTGGGTTTTTATGATTTTGTCCATGTTTGCTTTTGTAAATGTCCACTTTTGGGAACCATAAGTAAGAACAGGGAGTACGCAATTGATTGTATACTTTGGTCTTAAGATGCTGTGGATATCTTTTGTTTTAAGAATGTAGCTTAGTTTGCCAAATGCCGCCCATGCCAGTCTAACTCGTCTTTTTATCTCTGCTGTTTGGTTTTCTTTGGTTAAGTTTTATAGTTTGACCAGATATATATAATCCTGAACTTGTTCTATTTCATCTTGTCCGATTCTCATTGTGATGTCTTCATCTGTATTTGTTATGGTTTTGGTCTTGCTGTAATTCATATTAAGGCCTATCTTTCCAGCTTCTACGTCTCAGTTCTTTCATCATTTCAAATAATTCTTCTTTTTTATCGGTTATCAATACGATGTCATCAGCGTACCTTAGATGGATCAAGCGTTGTCCACAAATTTTTATACCTTTTTCTTCCCATTCTAATCTTTTAAAAGAATCTTCCAGAGCCTGATTGAAAAGTTTCGGTGATATTGTATCACCCTGTCTCACGCCTCTATTTATTTGTATTGATTTTGTTCCTTCATATACTTTAATTGTTGTTTTGGCTTTCTTATATATATTGGCTATTAGTTCCGTATATCTGTGGTCAATTCTGCTGTTAATCAAAGAACTTTTCACTGCCCAATATTCGACACTGTCGAAAGCCTTTTCGAAATCTATGAACGCCATATATAGAGGAATGTGGTATTCATTTGCTCGTTCTATAAGTATTTTCATACTTAGTAAATGGTCACTTGTGCTGAATCCCTTTCTAAAACCAGCTTGTTCTTTCGACTGGTATCCGTCGAATTTTGTCGTCAATCTATTGGTTAAAATTTTTTTTAGGAGTTTTATACATTACATTGAGGAGTGTTATAGGACGGTAGTTTTTTACATCTGCTTTATCCCCTTTCTTGTGTAGGATAATGGTTACTGATTCCTTCCAGTTGTTTGGGATTCTTTTTTCTTTTAATATCTTGTTAAAAAGGGAATGTAGAGTATTAATTACCACTTTTCCACCATATTTCAGCATCTCTGCAGTTATTCCATCTTTTCCAAGGCTTTCCAGCATTATTAATATTAGCATTTTGAAGATTATTATTATTTTTAATGCCGTCTGTTGTAAACCAGTGGCACTTAAGTGTCTTATTGTACAACTTACATTTATTCATGGTACCCATACCAGGATGTCTGGACGTCTGCGCTGGATGGGCCATGTTGAACGGATGTTGGAGACTGAAACACCAAAACATATTATGAGGCAAACACCAGTAGGAAGAAAGTCAAAGGGAAGACCCAAACTTAGATACATGGAACAAGTGGAACAAGATCTGAAAACACTTAAGATTACCAACTGGAAAAACAAAGCAAGGAACAGAACAGAATGGCGGAAAATCCTAGAATAAATCAGTACCCAGAAAGGGTTGTCGAGCTACTGATGATGATGATCCATATCAGGATTCTGGAACCATGTACTAGCTTGTACAGGTCTACAGGATGGGTACCATGTGAATTTGAAGTCACTTATAGTCTTCGTAATGTGTTCGTCCCCTGCGATCGAATGCCTTTCATTATGTAATATATTGTTGACTGTTTCAGGTTCCCTACTATAGAGTCTATAGCTTCTCCTCCTTCTCATTCCTTGAAAAGCCCACATGTGAGGGCTTCCATATGTCAGAGCATGGTGACAATCTAGATATTGTTAGTTTGCTGTGATTATGTGCCAGATAGTCGGCTTCATGTAGGAATTTTCCCACCAGAGTCTTTATTTAGTCTGCCCATCATGTTAAAGATCTTCGGCCTTTTACCTTTATCCTAAATCAATGGCTTGAAGTCTTGGGTCAATCCCTACAGTCTGGGTCGAGTGTTTTCTCTGTCCCATGTCTCTCGATAAACATCGAAGGGAGAGAGATAGAATACGTAGATGAATGTACATATCTGGGTCAAAATGTCAAGGTAAGCAAAGAAAATAAGACTACCGAAATAAGCAGACGTGTAAAAATGGGATGGGCAGCATTCAGAAGACTCCCATACGTACTAAAAAAAAATACCTCAAATACTGCGAACCAAAGTGTTTAATTCCTGTATCCTACCTGTGCTTACATATGGAGCTCAAACCTGGACATTCACTAAAATAAACATGGGAAAATTCCAAATATTCGATATTTTTGTCCACGAGTGTATATGAAGTGAAATCATGGACCTTAACTGAAGCATTCACTGAAGAGACTTGAAATATTTAAAATGTGGTACTAGCACCACCGATTACCAGTGTGGCTTCCGACTGGAAAGGCCAACAATAGAGCAGATCTTTATCTTAAGCAAAATTTTAGAAAAGAAGAAGGTGCTCAGGATTGATCTCGCGAGGAACCTCGTCTTTTAAATTTCATGGGAATTAGATACAAAATCAGTCCAAACTGATTACTCAATATTTGTGTTCAGCGACCCCACAAAATACCCGAGTAAGGAGTTTCAACTGATTTTGTATCGAATTTTCATAAAACTCAAGAAGATAAAGCCTATCATAGGCACCAGGTGACTCGGAAACCATCGCCGTCATAATATTCGTGTTCAGCGACCCCAAAAACTCCCGAGTAGTAATATTGAACTTCATTTCCATCAATTATTCCCGAATTGAGAATTTATCATTGTTCATCACTACGAAATGCACTTTGAAAAATGCATTTCCTGAGCCAATAATGCAGTTTTCATTTCGATTTCATCACTCTAGCCCACAAACTTTCTAACTCGTACGAATCGAATTCAACAAGTTTCATTGAGATCTATTCAAACTACAAAAAATAGTAGGGGTTACTTAAATTTATTTAACAATCAAAAGACTGATATGTTTTTTGTACACATTTATGACAAGTCAAAAGAAAAGGTAAACAAGTATTTTTGAAGTGTGTATATTTTAAATAATTCCTAGCTGAGCGCTTTCGGCTTTACAAAGCCATCATCGAAAGCTATGGTCAATTTATAAATACCCACTACAATGGAGAGATCTCATTTCCTTATATGTCGAAATATTGATTTTTTAGTTGTTAAAATTTCTTAAAAAAAACATATAAAAAAACCGACACTGGACTTCACAGAGACATTAAAAATTGAAAATTTTTTTGTCATGGTAGGGTGTAAGAACCCGAGCATTGATTGCTGTGAGGAGGAGGAGGAGGCTATTCTGTCTATCTCCTCACAGCAATCAATGGTCGGGTTCTTACACCCGTACCAAGACAAAAAAATTTTCAATTTTTTAATGTGTCTGTGAAGTCCAGTGTCGGTTTTTTTATATGTTTTTTATATGTTTTTTTAAGAATTGAAACAACTAAAAAATCAATATTTCGACATATAAGGAAATGAGATCTCTCCATTGTAGTGGTAATTTATAAATTAACCATAGCTCCGATGATGGGCTTTGTAAAGCCGAGAAGCGCTCAGCTAGGAATTATTTAAAATATACACACTTCAAAAAATACTTTGTTTACCATTTTCCTTTTGACTTAAATTTTATTTATCTTCTATTTCAGGAACAGTTAATATAAAGCGTAAGAATTTTGCTGTTATAATTCAACCAAAAATTACTGGTATATTATTCGATAAAGACGAGTATGAGTATTTTATAAAAGATGTAATATCTAATGAAGCACAAGTGGATAGTTGCCATACGGCGTTACTTATCAACAATACCTATCAAAGTAAAGTTGGAACTTCAGAATACTACACAATTGTGACGGTATATTTCAATGACGCTCTTTTTATTGGAGAATATAATACGGTTGATGAAAAAAATGGAATTATTGTTGGTGTTGCAGTTTCTGATGATAACTTGCAATTATCAATGAGGTAATATTATCAAGTACTTAAGTCTGGTATATTTTATAATATCTCGAATATATCTTAAAATTACAAACATCTTAGTTTTTAGTTAGTTAGAAACATCGTTAGTTTTTAGTTTAGCTAGTTTTTGTTACATAGTTAATGTATTTCAGTGTTTATTATACCATGTGAAACAATTACTTGTAATAAATTCGTTATTTTAGTAATAGTGCATAAAAGATCCCAAAGCAAGCCAATTTAACATTTTAAAACATCTTGTATCAAGAATGTATTCTAAATTGGATCTTAGAGTGACTAGAATGTTCATAGGGAGACTAAAAACGCACTATGCCTATAACACAAAATTAAAACCAAACGATACAAAAATCAAAATCGTCTGAAAACTAGAAAATTGCCACAGAAAATGTAACAACTGGTGTCAGAAGTGGGATTAGGTAAAATAAGTTATTTTCAAAAATTTCTATGGTCAAAATAAGAAGAGAGCCAAGATGGATAAAATTTAAGATATGATAGCCGCAATGGAACAATGTCGAAGAAAAGAAAAAGAGGCTGACGAAAAAGGGAAAGAAGAAAAAAAAAATGTAGACATGAAGCTGAAGAGAGACGTCGTTAAGAAGAGGTTATAAGTCTTATATCAAAAATAGTGGCATCAAAATTGGTTAAAGAAGATACGAAAAGAGAAATCGAAGAGACAAAAGAAGATATCGTAAAGAAATTAAAACAAAAGTGGTCTAGTAGAGTGTTTAAATGACTGCGACACTAAATCCATTCGCCAATCTTACATTTGAGTGTAGTGGTGTATGTAGTGAGTGTGTGTGTGTGTGTGTTTGTGTGTGTGTGTGTGTGCTGTGTGTGAGTAATGTCTTGATACTAGCAAAATCAACGTCATTGTCTTTGCTAAGAGACGCTAATTGTATCCGAACGTCTGCGGTCCCTCCGGTGAGTACTGATCGCACAAGGATAGAAATAATTTTCATTCATAAATTTTTAATAAACGAAAATTTCTCCACCCAGGTGAGATTCGAACTCACGACCTTTAGGTTCAAAGGTAGGCGCTCTTACCACTGAGCCACAGATGGGATGGTCTAGTAGAGAAAAGACATGATTAGGTAATGAGAACTCTTGAATGTATCGGTTTAGTAATTAAAAAAATCAAGCAACTGTGAGTTAAAGGTAAATCAGAAGTGATTTGTTCCCCTGTCAACGGAATAATTAAGCCACCTATATTTGACGGTGAGACCTCTGCACATAATAATGAATGGGCAAATGAACAGAAAACAACAGCTTTCATATTAGCACTTCGATATAAAGCTGTCAAAATTCACCAAAAACATCCCAGAGGACTCACAGAAGAGCAGTGAGATCTTTGTATCTGCTTTAGAATTAAGATATGAAAACCAATATTTGAAACAAGTCTACCAAAGTCAATCAAAAGTGCATATCCAAGGATTCAAATAATCTGTGCAAGAATACAGAGCGGAGGTGGAAAAAACGGCACTACTCACTTAGCCCAGAGCCCAAAAGAGTTTCTACCCCAAGTTAACATCCAATGATTCCTCGATGAACTGCGCGATGTGGCCTGCAGCACACATTACGACTAGAAAAAGGATGCTACTATTATATTGAAGAACGCCGTTGTCGCAACATAGGAGTATGAAGCTGTGAAGAATGTGTCCTGCCATCAACGCAAAGTCCATCATGAAGTATTGCCAAGGTAGAAGAAGATGATATAAATCCTCTAAATAGATGATTCTTTAAAATAAAATTGTCAAGCACACCAAAGTGGACAGAACGTACAAGAGGGCAGAAAATCGACTGGCAAGCAATCCCCACAACAGCAACGCAATTAGGCAAACTGGAAGAAGCCAACGTCAAGAGGCGCACGTTGGCTGCTCTGTCCTAAGCCCCAGATTCTTAATATCTAGAATAAGACGCACTAGCGACAGTTTAGTTGTCGATAGACTTCTCAATAGCCACAGATTAAATTTTATCATAGATACTAGGGCAACACGGTCAGTGATAAATAAAAGTTTTCTAGATCAGTAATTTATGATAATATCAATAACTCCTATCTCTCTCTCTCTTCAATCCTGGCCCCCAGGGGGACTGTAGTGGTCGACGTGATGTCGTGTATTGTCCGTCTCCAGAGATCTCTGTCTCTGGTATTTCTTTTAATTCATGCATAGGTCTTTGGCATATTCCTGTAATTTGATATATCCATCTTGTTAGGGATCTTCCTCGTGATCTTCGGTCTTCTACCTTTCCTTGTATTATGAGTCTTTCCATGTTTTCTGTGTTTGCTCTCATAACATGCCCAAAATATTTTAATTGTTGGAGACGGACTTTACTAGAGAGTCGTTAGCTAACTTTTAGCTCTCTTAAAATTGAATTATTTGTTCTACGGTCGGTCCAAGGAATTCGTAACATTCGTCTCCAACAGAACATTTCAGTGGCGTCTATCTTTCTTCTCTCCGATTGTCTCAGAGTCCAAGATTCACATCCATAGGTCAGTATTGGGAATATTAAGCAGTTGATCAACCTCATCTTTATCGCTCTTGAAATTTGACAGTCCTTCCATATTTTGGTCATTTTTGCTGTGGCAAGTTTTGCTAGATCACATCTACGTTTAATCTCTTCTTGTAATGACACTGTGTTTGTGATTAATGATCCCAGATATAAGTATAAGCTCACAACCTCGAACCGGTCAATTGTGGTTATGTGTGGATGATTGTTGTGTAGTCTATCCACTATCATGATCTTTGTCTTTGATATGTTTAATTGCAGACCAAATATTTGACTTTCGTTTTCGATCAGTCGTATAAATTCCATCAGCTCTGCTTGACTATTTGCAAGAAGGGCTGTGTCATCTGCGAAACGTAGGTTGTTTAGTTTATGACCATTATTGAGATGCCCTTTTCCCATCCTTCAAGTGCTCTTCGCATAATATACTCCCCATATATGTTGAATAATTGTAGAGATAGTATACATCCTTGTCTGACACCCCGTTCTGGATGAAACTCGTTCGAAAGTGTGTCAAGTACTTTAACTGATCCAGTAGTGTGTTCATATAGTTCAGTTATAAGCGTAATTAGATGTTGTGGTACGCCTACTTCCTTTAGTATTTGCCATAAGTGACTCCACTTGACCCTGTCGAACGCTTTACGGTAATCTATAAAACAGATGTATAGTGGGATGTTAAATTCCCTAGATTTCTCGATTATCTGTCTTATATTCAGCAGGTGTTTTCGAGTGCCTCTACCTTTGGTAAATCCAGTTTGCTCTTGTTGGAATTTCTCTTTGAAGGAATGTTTTCAGTCTTTCATTGATTATATGTAGCATTATCTTGCTGGCATGGGATATAAGAGAGATAGTTCTATAATTGTCGCATTAATGGAAGCTGCCTTTTTTATGTATGGTCGTTATTGTAGATTTTGTCCAGTCTTCAGGCCATTGTTTGGAATGCCATATTTGGTTACAGAGTAGATGAGTAACTTTACGCCGGTTTCTTCTGTGGCTTTAAGCATTTCTGCTGTTATATATCTGGACCTGGTGCTTTGTTATATTTAGCTTGTTGATAGCCTGTCTTACTTTATTTTCGAGTATATCAGGTTCTTCTTCCACCTCGTCAGAGATTTGGCTAACAAGCTCTTGGCGTTGATCATCTTTATATAGGTCCCTGCAATACGATCTCCATGTCTCTGCTATGTCTTCTCTGTTTGTTCTCAGGGTTCCAGTGTTATCTTCAATGGCCCAAGTTCTGGCTCTGAAGTCTCTTGTCAGGTAGCGTATTTTTCTAAATAGATCTCTCGGCTGATTATTCTGACCATGTCTCTCAATTTCTTTGCATATACTTTGATAGTACTGTTTTTTGTCGGCCTTACATCTTCGTTTTATTTCTTTATTGAGGTTTCTTAAACTAGCTTTTTCCCTTTCACTATGTACACCACTTTTACAAAGATTTCTTCTATTCTCAATTATTTTAAGAGTTTCATCTGTTATCCAGTGTTTCCGTTTCACCGGATTATTTTTCTTTGAGCGATCCACTGGTATTGTTACGCAATGTTTAACAGTCTCCCATATTTCTTGTGATGTTCCGTTATGAATAGAGAGCATACTTTTCTGTAATTCCTGTAGAAGGTCGTCTTTCTTTCTTAGTTCTATCCTCTTTATCTCTCTTTGTTTGTTGGGTGCTTTAAGTTTAAGCATTACTTTAGCTACGAGGAGAGTATGATCGGATCCGCATATCGCCCCTGGATATGATCTGACTGTTTGAATGGACGATCTCCAGCGAATATTGGTGAGGACGTAATCTATTTGATTTCTAAATCTATCTCCAGGACTTTTCCAAGTATAAAGTCGACGTACGTAGTGTTTAAATCGAGTATTCATGATAGAGTAGTTGTTTGTGATAGCAAATTCGATTAAACGGTCTCCTCTTTAAACTCCTATACGACTGGTAAAAACATAACAGTTTATGGGTAGAAATATGTGACGATCGAACTGGGACACGTCTAGATAGAAGTATTAGTCCGAACAGCCAACATCCTAGAAAAGTTTATCCTGGGCGTCGTGGGCATCCAGAAGAACAAAGTCATGATGGTCATCGTGGCTAGATTTTTGGTAGATGGAAAGAACAAGGACGTTCCGGTAAGAATGGCCAAGTCAAATGATAACAATATCACTTAAAATATGCCAAACAGTTATAAGAGTGACCAGAATAAAAGAACTGTATACAGAAATTCTCCACTGAACTATTGGAAAATCCAAAGAAGACATGGAGTTCTACTTCTACTTCATTCCGACAGGGGCAAAACTTCGAATCGCGAGCTATTTTAATAACATTTGTTTTCATTACTTAAGCTGCCGAGGCGATCTTTGAAGATTGGTATTGGCGAATTGTTTTATAAGGAATATCAGTATGAGTTGTAAGCGAGAATTATTAATGTAATTAGAATTTGTGATATTTTAACATATCACAAATTCTAATTACATTATTAATTTTACATATATTAATTTTTAGTATGTCCTTTGAAAATTACAAAAACAACACAAATTGTGTATATTGGAAACATAAAGCTTTGGATTCTAAAACAGAGACAGGTTATTGGGCACCTATCAGTAAATGTCCCTGCGCAAGTACAGAAGGTACATATTTTGCTCTTTTAGAGAGCCATAACGTAACTAATGATTTAGAGCAAGTATTTAATTCCAATGTCTCAATTGATGAACAACTGCAGAGAGTGATAAGTATATTGGATATACATAACCAAAATTTAGAGGCTTTTGATGTTCATCTTGTAGCAAGTATACTAGGTAAGTCTATGTTTCTATAGTGGTTTAAGTTTAATTCAAATGGTTTTTAAGGTATGTTTAAGTTTATATTTATTCAAATCATGAATGTGTTGCTTGTGTGAGTCCATTTCAAATAGGTAAAGAAATAATAAATAAGACTTACTCACAATCAATTTAATTTAACTATCAGACGACCGGTTTCGCTTTCTACAATATGCAAAGCATCTTCAGGTCTCGATACAAAGTTAAATAAATGATGCCGGTACTCTATTAATTGATGGATGGTAGAACATGGTTGAAACTACTATGTATTGTTGAATGGAGAACTCAATTCTGCTATTGTAGTTGTTTGACAGTAAACGGGAAGTTCTTGAGGAGATAGATTTGATCCAATGAAGCAGAGATATGTGTGTGATTGTTTGTTAAATGAAAGTGATGTAATATACCATTGTATTATTAAAAGTTATTTATACTTATTCGAGAGATATATTTATGAAATGTGTGTTATTTATTGAGTAATTGTTTTATGAAGGTGACAGTTTTATGACAATGAATAAGTTTAGATGTACAAATTGTGTGGGTGTGCAATTATTTTTCAACTTGTAGTTATCAAATTTCTTTGATAAAGTTCTATTGGCAAAATAGTAGATTATTGCAAAGTCAAGTAAATAAAATATTAGAATTAAAACAATTAAGGACAATTTAAAACACACTAAAACAGAAAACACTTAGAAGGGACGAAACAAACATTAAATTTAATTTGGTTGGTAACTTTGAAATTTTTGGTTAGTATAACCTGATCTTGAATGGCAAGTAATGAACCTTAACCTTCTGTTTCGGGGAACATCTTTCCTGATGTCAACCAATGTCTTGATTGACTTGATTGCTGTTATAATTATTTTATTATTATTATCATAGTAATCATTATCAAGGAACTCAAAACCAGATGATAAATATGTTTATTTATATATCGTTTATTTTTTTAGGCAAACTACTGAACGAATCAACAGTGACTACTCAACATATGGATTTCTCTTCAGCAATAATCAGCAAGTTATATTTAGTGAACACAAATGTTCTACAACAATCTCAAGAAAAATATGGAGCAACAGACAATATTCTCTATACACTTGACGAAACTACACAATTATGCAATGATACCTTTAGTTCAGGGATACTGTACAATAATTTTTTGCTAACAAAAATCAATGTCCAAAACTCTAACATTACTGGTGTGATATTGAATAAATGCACTGAGAGTCTTTGTAATATAACACCTTTGTATTCTAATCAAACAATAGAAGAATCTGCAGATAAAAATTCTTTTAAAACCGCACTACTTTTTAGTGAAGCGTTGCAGAAGCAAATAGATGAAAATATAGATCCTGTAAATCTTATTGTAAGCGTTCATTTCAGCAGCCAGCTATTTAGAGAACAGCAGCAAAGAAGTTTAAGTACTAGCAAAATATTGGGGATTATTTTGGAAGGTAAAATTTAACACATTTCTATAAGTTAAAAAAAAAGAATTAGTGTTTGTTTAGAGTTTAATTGTTGTTGAATCTCTCTTTTATTTACTGCCTAAAGAATTGCCACTGTTGTTCTACATCACCATCAATTGATTCCGGAGTGGATTCTAGGTTTGCAATAATTTCTTGTTTCAAGTTTCTCTTTGACGTCTTCTGATTTTAATTTTTGTATGTTTAGTTGATCACTTTTGTAGGCTTTTTGTATCTTTTTTTAAGTAAAGTTGGAATTTTGCTACAAGAGGATTGAGGTCCGACGCCACGTCTGCAACTGGGTACGCTTTCACCGATTATATTGCGTTTCGGTATCTGTGCTTTATTAAAATATAGTCAATTTGGTTTCTAACAATTTTATCGACCTTGTCAGCTGGCAATTTCCAAGTGTAAAGGCGTCGTTTAGGCAGTTTGAAGAAAGTATTCATTACCGCAAGATTATGTTCTAGGCAGAATTCTATAAGGCGTTCTCCTCTCTCATTTCGAACACTGAGTCTATATGGTCCTACAGTAGACTCACATCTTCCTTCTCCACCTTTGGCATTAAAATCACCATGACTACTGTTATATCTCTAGATGTTGTATTTTGTAGGGTTTTTTGAAGGTCATCGTAAAATTTTTCAATTTCTTCCTGTTTTGTATTCGCATAATTCTTACCGATATTGGTATAAAGCCTACAACTGATTTTGCAACTTTTTTACTGACGTTAATTGCTACTCCATACTGATGTTGACTGTCGGTACTACTAGAGTAGAAAAGTCAACCATTGGTTGTACTTAGTTCGTCGGAGTCGAGCCATCTTGTGTCACTTATTCCCAATATGTCGATCTTAAGTCGCATCATTTCTTGTTCTATATTCCTTAGTTTACCAGGCTCATACATGGTTCTAACATTCCATGTCACTATTTTAAAAGTTGAATTTTGTATTTTTAGTACGCAGAGATTTCGTTGGTTAACGAACTGAGGAGCCCTGCCATTATTGTTATTTCTCCCCCTGCAGAATCTTGGCATCCGAGAACCATGATTAGTACGGTGATGCTTGTCACTAACTGCCATGACGATTTTTAGGGGTAATCTACGAGTCTTTAATGCAGTGGTTCCCTGTTGCCTTCTGCATCCTTATGCCGTTTACCATTCCTTGATTCATCCGCCTTTGAGGTAGGACAAATCTCAGGACAAAAGAGTGCCCTTACATCTATACCAGCTCCTCCGCCCGAAACCGTTGGCCAGTATTTGACTTGATTCTATATCAACCCTAAAATCCAGGGTTGCCACTTACGCCATCCGCACCGTACCGAAGTTTTGCTTCTCCGCCGTGGCTGCCGTTGTGGACTTCCTCCGTAACCCTGGACAAGGGACCCTAAACAGGTACTAGTTTCCCGGGTCAGGAAACCCCCGGAATCTGCGAAGGGCAGGGATTGATTCATTTTCCCTGATAGGACTATCTTCAAGAATTTAAAGAGTTATTACTCGGTACCCGCAAGGCAGATATGAGCTACTCCAATCCATTTTTGCAAGGTAAAATTAAAGAAAAATGGCTCCAGGACGAAGAAGAATATCCAGGCTTGCTAACCTGAGAGCATGGTATAGAAAGACCTTAACACAGCTATTTCGTATAGCAACCAACAAAGTCATCATAGTCAGAATGATCACCAACGTTCTTGGGTGCCTTTGTATCATCTCTTTGGTGTAGATGTTTGGGATTTGTTTCAATACCTATTACTTTTCTTATTTCACGTTTTCTTTTAATTTCTTTACGTTGAGACTTGCATTGTCCTTTAGTTTAGGTTTATTGTGTGACAACGATCCATTAACAGTTTATCTATTCTTCTTCTTAAGGTGCCGTGCATTTCTGCGTAGGCGTCCACCGTACATCGTCTTGTCAGGTGAGATGTTAAATATTCTGGTTTAAATAATTCTGTTTTTAGCAGCATTGCGAAGCATTTCATAGCTGTGGATTCCTGTCCATTGTCGAATATTGCGCAGCCATGACATTTTTTTACGTCCGAGACCTCTCCTACCCTCTATTTTCCCTTCGAGAATCAGTTGCTGAAAAGTGTATCGTTCTCCTCGTATAATGTGCCCCAAGTATGCAGTCTTCTTACTTTTTACATAATTAAAAAGTTCCCTATCCTGTAAGCCCGCTCTTCTGAGTACTTCCTCATTTCTGACCCTGTCCGTCCATGATATTCTGAGCATTCGACGCAGGCACCACATTTCAAACACTTCAAGTTTGTTAATGGAACTGGCCTTTAACGTCCATGCTTCCATTCGTACAGGAGAACAGGCCACACGTAACATTTAAGCATCTTGTATCGGAGATTGAAGTCCAATTTGCGATCAGTCAGAAACTTACGAAGCCTCAAAAAAGCATTTCTGGCTTGTTCAACTCTGCTCCTTATGTCATTCTCGGGGTCCCAACCCTCATTCAGCAAACATCCCAAGTATTTGAATTGCCTGACTTGTTCGATTTCTTCTCCAGAGACATATATCTTTGCGTTGGGGTAATCATTTCTACTTATAATCATTGATTTTGTCTATTAACGTTTATTAATATAAACGATTAAGTTTATCTATTAACGATTTTAATATCGTAAGCTAATTTTATTCCTTTAAGTTTCATCCATAAGTAATACTATTAATACTTATTATTAATACTTATTAAGTATTAATAGAGCGATTTATAAAATATTTTTACTTTTAATTTCTAGGTATAAATGAAAAACTTGCTGGTTCAATTTATCTTATACATAATAAAGATAATATAGAAAAGACGGCAAATAGTAGTTGTGCATATTGGAAGTATCAGGTAAGTGTTTTTGATAACAAAAATTAAATGTTTAATAATCATTTATACTCATATTATAATCAATCATAGCCCCCACCCGCTTCTATAAACCAAGAATTATCAGAGAAGCCATAGAAATGGAAAAAAGACAAATTGTCTTAATAAAAGAGATGAGGGCATCCAGTTACATTTCGCAGAAAGAACTCTTATAAAGAAAATATCGTCCGTTTCACCCTTCTATCAAGATGGCGCCGTGAAAAATGCCAACCTAGATTATTTTTTTTGTTAAATAAAAACTAAATTGCCGTTTTTTGCAAAACAAGTTGAAAACTATCTGTTTTTTATTAGTTTCCATCATTTGTACGATCGATACTGCCATTCAGCTATAGTTATCACTAAAGCTCGGATTTATAGGCAACAAAAATTGAAGAAAAAGGCGCCTATATAGGCAAAGATTTTTATTAAAAAAGGCAGGAATATTAACATTTAGGCAAAATATAGGCAATAAAGGAATATAACTTATTATTTATTGTACAAAGTAAATTAACGTAATATTAACTTAAGGCAAGTATATTTACACATCATAATCATAACATTAGTATAAATAAACTAGTAACTAAATAACTGTTAATTAATAATTAAACATTGTAACCACTTAAAATTTTATCATTAATAGAAACAACTAAATGTTTTTCAATATTTTCGGTCTTAAAACTATGTCTTCGATCACTTAAAATTAATTTGTACATTGAAAACGAACGTTCGACATCGACAGATGTAATTGGAGCATATTTCAGAGCGGATAATAAATCTGGCATAATTTGAAATTCCTCGGAAAATGTCCCATTCAAAACTTTAGCAACATTAGATAAAAACGAAAAACCTTCATTCTTGTCGAAAACATATTTCATTTTTTTAAAAATTAATTGACCGTTACTTCCAGGTGCCGATTTAATTTTCGTCTTTAAATTATCTATTAATTTTACTGACTCACATAAATTTATCTCTTGTTTTTCTAATAAGGTAATTGTGGTAACTATTAATTTATAATTGTCATTGATATAACCGAGTTCCTGTTTCAATTTGGGATTTTTTAATATTTTTTTTGCTTCTCGAATGGCTTCGGAAATATCATCATCAAATTCTGACATAACTAATTCTATTTCATTGCAGTGTTCAAAGTAAAAAAAGACTGCTTCGAGCCAGGTTCCCCACCTTGTAATTACTGGTTTAGGTGGCAAAGGGACACCGGAAGTCTTTCTTTATATATTTGCACCCTCAACGGAGCCTTTACAAAAACTTTTTTCATAAAATTTATAAAATTATTTACCAACGGAAACAGATTTCTTATTTCTTCAGCAATTCTATTTACCCCGTGGGCTACACAAGTGCAATGAATTAAATTAGGATAAAAAATTTTTAAATTAACAGCAGCTTTTAACATATATGCCGCAGCATCTGAAAGCATTAAAACTATTTTATTCACTGGTATAGCGTTGGGTAAAAAGAGGTTTGTTAAACTATCTTGTATAAATCGACTTATTGTTAAATTGTTTGTTTTTTCCAATTCTTTAACGGCAACTAAATAAGGTTTTCTCGCAAAGTTTTCGTTCAAAATTCCAATCATTAAATTAGCTATATACCTGCCGCATACATCTGTCGTTTCATCCACGATAATATACAAAAAATTGCCCTCCAACTCGTGCTTAATTTTTGAAATACATTCCACATAACATTTTTCCACAGTATGTTTTCTCAATGTACTCTCGTCCGGTAAGGATTTATTAAGATATTTTTCAAAAAAGCGTTTAAAACTAGGGTTATTAACTTTATATAGAGGAATGTTGGATGCAATCATCATCTGGCATAAATCAAATTTAAATGCGTCTTCCTCCTTTTTTTTGAACTGCTTAAACTATCCCGCAGAGATGTTTGGGCTAACTTAGAGGAATTTAATTTTTCCAAATTACGTTTATGAAGTGGGGTTCCACAATGCTGGTCAATAAAGTACTTTTTTCTACTTGAAATCTGAGAATTAAAAAAAAATAATTAGAATTCTAAAACCGCTTTAGAATTTAGTTATGTTGTGGGACGAGAAAAAAAGAAAAAAAAAATAAAACTTACCGATTTGCCGCATGGTTTACAAAATGCTCCATCTCCTTCTAGAGAAAGTTCCGAATAAGGTGCGATCCATAGCCTTAATTTAGATGTCATCTTTTCACACAACTGTCTTGAACGTTTTAAAACGTGTTCTTTGCTTTTCGGTATACGCAACAAAACTAAACTAGGATATAGCAATTTGCTAATTTGTGAGTAAACTCTGATACAGTAACCGACTGTACAACTGATAATAAACTAATAAAGCTTAGGGATTTCCAAATAGTTAACCCTCAAGTCTCGATCAGGTACATTTTCCTAGAAATCTATTATATAAACAAACCATTGATATTTTATTATTGACCCAAAATTTTATTATAGAATGGTTTAGTAATAGAATAATATCATGGGTAGTACCATGAAATTTTAAAAAAGGCACAAATAGGCGGAATTTACGAAAAAAGGCAAAAAGTGCAAAAAACACTTATAATAGGCAAAATAGGCAAAAAAAGGCATTTTGCCTATAATCCGAGCTTTAGTTATCACGATGGTTTACAGTATACCTAAACGCTTGGAGATCATTTTCATATTTCCCTCCAAGAACCAGTGTTATTTACGAACAGCTCAAATATTTCATGAAAGACATCCGAATAAAAATGTAGGTCACGTGTACGTCCATGATTGAGTTAAAAAGTTTAGAAAAACGGGATCAGTGCAAAATAAAAAAATAGATGCCCAAAGATGACTGAATGCAGCATCCCAAATTGGAGTCCTTGAAAATTTTGCAATAGAGCCTACTGCATCAATACGTCAAGTATCTGCAATGACAGAACATTCACATAAGTCGGTTAGAAAGGTGTTGAAATTATATAAGTTTCTCCCGTACAAAACACAAATTCTTCAAGAACTAGGCGATGATGATCCAGACCGACGAATAGAGTTTTGTAAACTCATGACTGAAAGAATTCGATTCCAAACGAGAATGTTAAAAAATATTTGTTTCACTGATGAATGTACTTTTATGCTGAATGGTAATGTAAATAAAGAAAACGGTCGGTACTGAAGTAATGCAAACCAGCATCGATTCGAAGGTCACACTTAATCTCCTGAAAAAACTGAATGTTTGGGCAGGATTATTAGGCGATGCTATAATTGGTCTCTTGTTCATACCAGGCAATTTAAGTAGCGACATTTATCTTGATATGCTGGAAAACACCATCAAACCTTTATTCTGCATGCATTAGAGAACCAAAGGGACTATCAAGACAACCTAGCTCCAGACGAAGATTTGCTGCACTTTCAACAAGATGGAGCACCTCCTTACTATGCAGCTCCAGTTAGGCACTGGTTAGATACTAATTATCTAAACAAATGGATTAGAAGAAGAGGTTCCATTGAGTGGCCACCGAGGTCACCAGACTTACCGCCACCTGACTTTTTTCTATGGAGTTACCTCAAGTCAGTTGTTTATAAAACTCAACCTGCGTCACTTGGGGAACTTCTTCTTCTTCTGGTAGCACTACAACCCGGGGTGGATCTTGGCTGACTGCACAACCTGCTTCCATCTCGAACGGGCGTCCATGATGTTTAAGTCAGTGGGTAGCCCCATTGTCCTCAAATCTGACCATATATTATCTCTCCATCGCATTCGTGGACGTCCTAAGGGCCTTCTCCCTGTCGGGACTTCTTCCCAGATTAACTTGGTAAGGCGGTTATTAGGGAGCCTATGAACATGGCCAGCCCATCTTAGACGTTGGGATTTAATCTCTTGGACTACGTCGCTAGCACTATACATTTGTTTGACCTCGGCATTTGTTCTCATTCGGTGTTGGTTAGTATTCGGAGCGTGATAGGGACCGAAGATCTTTCTGAGGATTTTTCTCTCAAAGCATCTGAGTTTACTTTCCATTGCTTTTGTCAGCGTCCACGTCTCACACCCATACATGAGCACCGGTCTAATTACTGTTTTATATATCCTGATTTTTTATGTTCGTGTTAGGCTCTTGGATTTAATAGTGTTGTGGAGGCTATACATACATCTGTTTGCTGACTGAATTCTCCCTTTTATCTCTTCCGTGATATCGTTATCTGTGGTGATAGTCGCTCCGAGATATTTAAAACTCTCCACTCTTTTAAAGTTATAGGGGTCTATTATATAAAAAAAATATATACCACTGGAATCTTCCCAGAAGACTGGCTTAGATCGACATTTATACCTATACCCAAGAAAAATAAAGCAAATAGATGCTCACAGTTCAGATTAATTAGCCTGATGAGCCATTTTCTGAAAATTTTACTCAAAATTGTACATCAACGAATATACAGAGAATGCGAAAGAAACCTTAGCGACAATCAATTTGGATTTCGTATGGGGCTTGGTACAAGGGAGGCATTATTTGGCCTCCAGGTATTACTACAAAAATGCCGAGATCAGCGAAAAGACGTCTTTCTCTGTTTTATCGACTACGAAAAAGCGTTTGATCGAGTTAAACACACAGAACTCATAGAAACCCTAACACAACATGGTATAGACCATAACACTGTAGCACTTATTAAAAAACTATATTGGGATCAAATGGCATCTATCAAAATAGACAATCGTCTGACAGCAGAATTGCCAATAAAAAGAGGAGTTCGTCAGGGCTGTGTACTTTCTCCACTGTTATTTAATATATATTCCGAAAAGATCTTTCAAAATGCCCTCGAAAATATTGAAGAAGGAATAAAAATCAACGGAGAATACGTAAACAACTTAAGATACGCAGACGACACCGTCATTATTGCGGACAGTGCTGAGGGTTTACAACGACTTTTGAATGTCATAACCAGAGAGGGAGATAGCTTGGGACTAAATATAAACACAAATAAAACAAAAGTGATGGCTGTTACACGTACACCAAATGTCGACATTAATATTCGTATCT